TCATTTGTATGAACTCTGAAAACGATTTGAATTACAAGCCATAATTAGCAATATTAGCTTYTTTATTTTCCTCTTGCAATCACACAAAAATTAGTACATTAATGAATTAGTGCATTCCTTAGTAATTTAGGAAATCCCATGCCAGATTAGTATACTATGCCTAATTATTAATTTTCAATTAATCATTTATTTATTGAAATTATAAGCTTGTTAATTGTTTTTTTGAGAAATTGTAACACRGGTATCCTGCACCTCTAACTTCCATCACTAGGTGTGTGAAGTAGCTTTCTGTGCACTTTAAATCATTTGTGACAGGGTACCTTTGATACATCACCTATATGTGCCTATTTGTACCTCACTTTGCCTATAGATTCCTATGTGCACATACAGGTCCTTCTGTGTGCCAGAAGGTCCCTCGGTCCCTCATTGCCCCACAGTGGCCTCTGTTCCTTCTACATGTACCTTGATGTGCCTATATTGTACCTTAACGTGCCTTACTGCTCCTTAAGTTCGTTCTTTTTTCTAATCTGAAACTACTTTTTCAGGGTATTCTTAGTTCAATTTTTAAAGATGATATTTCATCGAAAATATGCCAAAATCCTATTTAAATTACAATGTTTTCCATGCTATAACTCGCTAACTGAATCCAAAACTGCTTACGCCATTGAAGATGCATTAACCCTGTTCTATCGTATTGTATATCTAATAGAAAATATTGTCTAATACAGAGTATTAAAGTAAGTACTAAGAGTAATTTAAGGCATGGTCACGTGACCGCAGCCATATTGGATGACAGGCTTAAAAATTGAAATCTGTCATTGTTGAAAACCCTGTTCACGACATCCAATATTGGTCCCGGTTCGTGATCAAAAAAGTTCTAATAGAAACTTTCGTTTTTGAATTATTGAATCCTAAAGTACGGCTAGGTCMCTCAAGGGTCCTTAAGGTCCCACTAGGTCCCTAAGTGCTTACTGCCCTTGGTAGATTTTAGCTTGATAGACTAGCTGACCGCCACCATACTGAATCCACAAGTTTTCAAATTCTTGTCTAGTTATCTCAGCACCAGTCCTCCTGGTKAGGCCAGTCTCGTCTAGACTCAGTTCACACATGTCTAGATCGTCATCACCAGCTACTAGTAACAGGGGCTTCTTACCCTGGTGGAGCTCYATCTGACGGGCAATCCACTGACCATCAAAATGAGCAAACCTGAAACAAAAAACATGTTTATTAGCTCAAATGAATGGAATTATTAGATTGTGAGAGCCTGCGATTATATACTGATCAGCACCTTTTTCCACGTTATGGTGTGAACAAAATGCGCGCAGGTTCTTGGAACCGCGATTGAATGGTTATTCAAAGCACATAACAAAACTCTCTAAAATTCGAGTAAATTCTGATGAACAAAATAGGGAACGAGGCTAACAGCCTAGGTGCATCGAAACAATGTAAGCTGCGACACTAGCCGACATTTCCTGTCTCGTGTGGAATGTTCATAAGCTGACTCACAAGTTTTCAATAGAATCCTTCCTGGCAGACAATACATGGCGATCAGTGTTTGACCACCATTTGGAGTGAGATTCAATGACTTTTATTAGCTGATTGAAACCCAGCAATAAAATTCTTTCTGGTTGACAGCACATGGTAGTCAGTGTTTGACCAACATTTGGAGCTAATAATGAGATTCAATGACTTTTATCAGCTGATTGAAATCCAGCAGTGACCTCAATTTTCTTCTGCGCAACGCATGCGATGGGTGCTTAACCGCAGTTCTATAAACAGCRGGCTTTCATAATACGTACCACGATCCTTGTTTCTTGTACACAGTATCACGGTATTTATCCGATCGTTTACTAAATGGAACACGGAAGAATCGTTGCAAACGACGAGGGGGRAGGGATGGGGGAGGTTCGTTGGCTTGAGCTGGACGAGGAGGGAGGGGTGGTTTATTTTGCTCAGCTGTAACACAATCAGACACATAATTATTACTGTGATAATTACCTTGAAAATTAAATGGAAAACAGTTATGAAYGTTATATTGCGTGACGGAGTGCGTGACAGAATAGCGTGACAATGATATTCCAATACCTTTTTCTTGGATATCTTTTGGCGCTCTCTGAGGTGCGCCTTCCTCTGGCGTGACACGAGCTTTGTTCGTTTTCTTCCACTGATGATAAACTTTGAGACGACGATGAAATTCCTGTCTACATGCCTCAAGCAACTCGATATCTGGAGGAGAAAAGGGTGAGGCGAGTGTTGGCAAGTACTAGTAATGCAATATACATAGTTTGAGGTCAAAATGTAGAAATAGTGGCTTTCTTACCACAAGACGTATTGATAGTATCTCGTAGATCTGCATATTTCCAAGAAGTTAAATCGTGCTTCTTGTCTTTTTTAGCTGGTAAATTCCTGTGAAAAAATACATTTACCGAAGATGTTAAACAAAAATGTCAAGTGTTTCACATGAAATTTCACATGACATTAATGAATCAAGAAATGATGCTTATTATGTACAAACACGTTAGGTGTCACACATGAGGTGTCACGGTCGACCTTCTTGTCACGCAAAGGCTCAGGTGCAATTTATATTGTTTATTTGGCCAAAGCAGGTTACCTTTGCAAAGGTTGAACAGGCTCGGGTGCTGCAACAGCCTCAGCATCCTGAAGAGAGTTTTAAAAAAAAACATCTTAAAATCAAACGACTTGATATCAAACCTTTTGTTGGTAAGGGGAAGAAAATATTTAATTCAACAGAAGGTGAATAATGAGAATCACAATCGATATGGAAATATATATTCGGTGCATGTGTTGCATTGATGGGTTGCAAGCATTCCCAAGAGAGTTAAAAGACAAAAACATGGCGGCCATTGTGGTGCCGTTAACAATGGATGCTAATTAGAAATCTTTTGTTAAATGGCACTAACATGGCCGCGATGACGTAACGTGCAATGGAAGAATAGACAACGTACGACATTGCAGAAGTAGGATAGAGTTGTGTTTAATCAGGTAAACGATAACTACGRCATTGCTGCCAAATACATGACGTTTTCAGCAGATTAAATCGGTATTCCACTGGTTAAAGCCGAGAAGTGTTACTTTSTTTATAACTTTGTTGCAAGTGAAAGAGGTATTTCATCCAACTAGACATCTCTCTGGTGCCAATAATGTTGCGCGCGATAGTTGTAATTAAATGTGTGCTTAAATGACTATTATTCAGACCATTTTCACTTACATTGGCCAGTCTTAAAGCCAGTTCACGATCACGTCTTTCTTGTTCAATCATCTCTTGCCTGAAGAAAGTCCATGCTTTGTTACAACTAAATCCATAACATAGTACTAGTGGCAGTGCACGTGTACGACTTACCGTTTTTGCTCTTCTTCTAGTAACTTCTGCTTCTCAAGCTAAAGGAAAATATAACCAAGTGTCACCACAAGTCAACTTGGGTATGAGGTATCAGGGCAAGTCATCATGGG